TATTAGTCTTAGGAAATACAATTCTTAATCATTACTTCATTTGACCACTCTAAAATTTCATGATCTCCCATTATTGAATAATACAGTGTTTCCAATTTGTACTATAATAAGTAATGTTGGCACTTCTGTGATTAAAAACTTAACCTACATTTTGGGTTAGTCCCCTTTTTCAAATTTAAACTCTTCATACTGCTATTGTATCAATGTACGTTTGCCTTCAATTAGTACATTTCTATCTCATCCCATCCACTTGAACAGTCTTTATAATAATATTTTATTCTATTTTCGGTGACAGTTTACCCAGCAGTTTGGGTTCCCTTTACAGCAATTTCTCCATATTCCCCATCTGGTTATTCCAATTTTATTAATCTTCTTTCTCTGTCTCTCTACATTCTCTTCAATGGTGTAGAGTAATGGTGACTATATAGATCATATTTTAAAGGAGCACAATATTCATGGATGTCACTCCTTTACCCTAAATTTGATTTATTATTGTTCCTCCATGCACTATTTGGTGACAATTATATTCTTTAAATTGTGCAATCATTTAACCTCCTTTTTTGAATTGTTCCACTCCTATCAGCATAAATTCACTGCTTTGTAATGAATGTTTCTCTGTAATCTTTTCTGTTGTTATTGTCAATTTTATCCTTATAGATCATTTATGTATATATAAAATATAATAATGCTCAATGTGGACCTTTTTATTGTTCAATTTTAGGAAGGTTTCAAGGGGTAAATTTTGACTTAAAGTTAAAATATTATATCAGGACTATATTTTCAAGAGTTAACCGACTGTCCATGGCTCTAGAAAGTCCATGACATTGTGGAATTCTTTGATCAAAATGATCAGTATTTGTAGTCTTCATCCAACTCTTCTCCCTTGTGCCACAAGAGGGTGTTCATGCAAGCAATTAGCCACACATTCAATGGTGTTAGCTGACATCTGGTCTCTTCCTACCTATAGCAACCCTAGACACAACAGAAGTAAACAAGACCCGGTCCTGTGCTAGTCTCACATAGTTTCTATGCATGAGCCCATTGTTGCATCCCTGAGTCAGTCCACCATATTGTAGACTTTCCTCTTTTTCACTGTCTCGTTGTTTTTCCAAGCATGATGGCCTTCTTAAAAACATATCCAAAGTATGTGAGACAAACTCTCACCATCCTTGCCTTCACTGTGGTGCTACTCCTTCTAAGACAGATTTGTTTGTCCTTCTGACAGTCCGTGGTACTTTCAATTTTCTTCACCAGCTCCACAATTCAAAGGCATTGATTCTTCTTGGGTCTTCCTTATTCAAAGTCCAACTTTCACATGCGTGTGAAACAATTGAAAATACCATGGCTTGTGTCAGTTGCATCTTAGTCCTCAAAGTAACACTCAAGCTCTCAATACTCTATAGAGGTCTTGTGTAGCAGATTTACCCCACGCAATGTGGCTTTTGATCTTTTGACGACTACTTTCGTGAGCATTTGCTGTAGATGCAAACAAGACAAAATTCTTGACAGTGTCAACCTTTTTCTCCATTTATCATGATGGTACTTCTTTTTTTAATCATTTTATTGGGGGCTCGTGCAACTCTTATCACAATCCATCCATCCATCCATTGTATCAAGCACATTTGTACATTTGTTTCCATCATCATTTTCAAAACATTTTCTTCCTACTTGAGCCCTTAGTATCAGCGTCTCATTTTGCCCCTCCCTCCTTTATCCTCCCTCATGAAACCTTGATAATTTATAATTTTTTTTTCATGTCTCACACTGACCTATGTCTCCCTTTACCCACTTTTCTGTTGTCCATCCCCTTGGGAAGGGGTTATAGATAGATCATTGTAATCCATACTGAAGGCTGCAATCCTTGATCTTCATCAGCAAGTACTTTAAGTAAGTCTTCCTCATTTTCAGCAAACAAAGTTGCGTCATTTGTTTTCCTCTATTCTTCTAATCCAGATTCTCTGATTATCTGCTCAGCAGTCAGATTGAATAAGTATGGTGGAAGGATAAACCTCTGGCACAAACCTTTCATAATTTTAAACCATGCAATATTTTCTTGTTCTCTTTGCACAATTGTCTCTTGATCTGTGTATAAGCTCCACACAAGCACAATGAAGTGTTCTGAACTCTCATTCTTCTCAAAGCTATCCATAGTTTGTTATGATCCATATAGTCAAATGCCTTTAGAGAGTCAAGGAAACAAGTAAGCATCTTTCTATTTTTCTCTGCTTTTAGGTAAGATTCATCTGAATGAAATGCCTTGTTCAATGTCCAGCCTCAACCTCTCGCAACTCCCTGTCAATATTCTGCTGAAATCACTGTTGGATGAACTGCAGTAAAATTTTACTGCCATGTGATATCAATGATATTGTTCTGTAGTTTGAGCATTCTTTGCGATCACCTTTCTTTGGAATGGGTGCAAATAAGAACCTTTTCCAGTCAGTTGGCCTAGTAACCGTCTTCCACATTCCTTGGCATAGATGAGTAGGTGCGTCCAGTGCTTCATCAGCTTGCTATTCCATCAATTCTTGGAGCCCTGTTTTTGGCCAATGTTTTCATCGTAAACGTTTCGCTTCAGTACTATTGCTTCTTGCTGATATACTATCTACTGAAATGTTTGAATGTTGACCAATTTTATTTTGTTGTTGTTTTTGATACAGTGAGTCGGTATATTTTTTCCATATTTCTTGATGCTTCCTATATCATTGTTTTGCCCATAGAATCTTTTAATATTAAAGCTCTTGACTTGGATTTTTTTCTTGAATTCTTTCAGTTTTAGATATGCTGAGCATGGTCTTCCTTTTTGGTTTTCTAACTGTAAATCTTTACCTCTCATTAAAATATTTAATATTTTACCTTGTGTTTGCAAGCTGCCCTTTGAAATTTTCTGTTCAGCTCTTATCTTCATCATTTTCTTCCCTTGTCCTCAGCTGTTCTATGGATAACATTGTTTCAGTCTTCTCATCAAGTTTCTGATGTCTTTTGACATCCACTTTGATCTTTTCTTTCCTGTCTCTATAATGACCACTTTAACATTTATTTCATTGTATTGGGGCTCTTAGAGCTCTTATTATAGTCCATACATCAGTTGTATCAAGCATATTTGCATCATCATTTCCAAACTTTTGCTTTCTTAAGAATATTTTTGATGTTCTCTCACAGCGCATCAGGTCTCCTGTCATTAGTGTTCAGTGAGTCAAATCGATTTATGAGATGTTTTAGAAATTCAGATGGGATAGGCTTGTTTATATTTTCATTCTCATGGAGTTATCTTTATTTTCTTCAGCTTTATCCTGAACGCATATGAGCAATTGATGGTCTTTTCCACATTCAGCCCGTGGACTGGTTGTAGCTGCTGATATTGAGTTTCTCCTGTGTTTTTTTCCATGTATGTAGTCAATTTGGTTTCCATGTTTCCCATCTGGGGAAATCCATGTGTATAGTCACTATTTGTGTTGTTGAAAAAAAGTATTTGCTAGGAACAAAATTCTATCATGCAATCTCCAGCTTCATTTCTATCACCAAGAAAATGTTTTTCATTGTTTCCATCTTTTGCATTTCCAATCGCCAACACATCTTGATTCCATGTTTGATCAATTTAAGTCAGAAATGGTTGGGACACTTCTTCAATTTCTTCATCACTACCTTTGTGGTTGGTGCATAAATTTAAGTATAATTGTATTGATTGGATTTCCTTAAAGTAAACAGATATAATCCTATCACAGATAGCATTGTACTTCAAAATGGTTCTTGTATTGTCAATTTTGACAATGAATGCAACTGCATTCCTTTTCATTGTATCATTCCCAGCACTGTAAACTATCATTTTCTGATTCAAAAGAACTGATACCAATCCATTTTTAGCACACTAATACCTCAAATATTTTTCTTTATGAGTTACATTTCATCTTCGCTGACTTAGTTTTTTGAGCTTCATACTTCATACATTCCACATTCTTTTTATTAATAGATTTTGCAGCTGTTTTTTTTCACCTTAAATTGTTCTCCATCAGTAAATGAAGATACCAAAGTCTCCACTCCCACAGTCTTAATTCCATGAACATTACAGGGTCCACTCGACTTTAGGAAAGTAGCTCCTCTTCAGTCACAGTTTGAGCACCCCATGGGCCCATCCTCCCCCACTATACCGACGATGTTCCTTTTCCATTTGCTAGGTCTGTAATATCTGATAATATTTCCATGCTTTGCACATTCAATAACCTCTTCCTATTCCTGATTCTCCTTTTTGCTCTGTTACTTCAAATGTGCAAATGTACAGAGACTAAATGTTGTGGCTTCAATAGCCACTTGTCAGCTTTTAAGACCTCTAGGACTATGTAACCAACTAGGAGGTAGAACAGAAACACTAAATACGTGAATTGGATAAATAACTTCATATATAATGAATCATAACTCTCAACCTCTAAACCAAGAATCCAAACCCCACAACGTATTTGGTTATACATAAATAGCTTCAGCAGCTATTCTTTTGTATTATTGTTGTTGCTTTTTGCTCATTGTATGCATATCTGTCACACAGGTTTTCACCTTTTTACAGATGTGTCACTTATTTACAGCAATGAGGCTCTTGAGTATACTAAACATTTTGAACTATGTTGTCAGCCATCTCCAAATGAGAAATCACTGGAAATGTCATTACCAGTAGACAGCTAGAAAGCTCTAAGAAATGCAGAAAGCATTGTGATTACTGTGACCCTATGGAGGAGATTTTCTCTGTCTTGAATTGGTCACTTAAATTGGTCACTATAACTCTGACCAGTTATAGTGGACTGTTCACTTATAATTGAGCTAGATCTCATGTATAGCAAGTTGAATGCTTATATAATCTAGGGAAAAGATTGTAATCATTTTTATATTTACTATTAAATTCATTAAATCTATTAAAATGTAAAATTATATGATGCTAGAAATTAAAGTAATTATTTGGCAAGAATATGTGCTGTTCCAGTTAAGTGGTAATCTTATTTTTCTCTGTTGGGTAGATTTTTCTAGATATGACATTTGGATCAGGAGGACATACAAGAGCCATGCTACACAAGGAATCAGATATTACTCTGTATGCCCTAGATAGAGACCCAACGGCTTATGCAATAGCTGAAAAGCTTTCAGAATTATATCCGTAAGTAATACTCTTACATTTTCTAAGTTTTTTGGGGTTGAGTTTTACAAAACTTGATTTTCCACCTGGGAATTTTTTTCCTCCAGATTGATACCATATCTCAATCTACCATACGTGAGGGCCTTTAATTTTCCATTTTTCATAAACTTTTTGAAGTCTCCTCAAATTCCCATCTATTTGTCCAGCAAGAATTAATGTACATCTTATGAATTTAGTGCCTTTAAAATTTTTTAATGTTTCTACATTTCTTTTATGAATCCACAAAAATATATTGAAAACTCACTCCTGGCTACAGTATTGAAGGTGAATGAAATTATCCATGAATGACATTTTGAAAATAATGTATTATTAAAAATATTCTTTAAATTTTTTCACAAAGTATGGTTTTCAAAAATTTAGTTGAGTAAATAAGTATGTGAATTCTGTAGAACTCACATACTTTAAAATAAATCATTTGTTTTATCTAAATTCTTTCTGAAATTCAAAAGTAAAGCTAGAGTAATCTATCTTTGTCATAGAGAACTTATAAGAATTCATCAGTTTCCAATGTAGAATTTAAAAAAAATTTTAAATATTGTTTTCATGAGTGACGTAAACATATTTTTAAAGAAGACAATTAAATGAGGGCATTAAGTTTATGTGCTGTATTGTTTAGAAGCCATCACCCTAAAAGAGGAGAATATACTGGAGTCAAGATGGCCATCACTAAATATGTGAAAGATACGTTTTCTGGGTTAAGTAATTCTCTCATTCCCAGAGAGAGAACCAAGAAAATACAGGTATTTCAGCAGTGTCTATTCTCCATGTAAACTATGATTTTTACTATTTAGCTCCCCAATATGAAAATATTTTTTATGAGTTAGTAACAGTATGACCATGGAATATTTTAATCAAAGATAAGGAATAAAGATTCGATTAGTAATCTAGCATAGCCTTTTCAAACCCCCTTAGGTCTCAGACTCTGCAAGTGAAGTGAATGTGATTGACTTCCCCAATAAAAAGTAACTAATTATACATAGACTTTTCTCTGAGAGATTAGGAATTGTATAGAATCTCTGTAATTTATATGATGTTGTATAGTAACAATAAGTTACTATTCATTACTAAAATAATAATGAAACACATTTTAAAAACAGTCTCTCATTCAGAAATCAGACTTAATCATTTTAAGAGAGTCATTTTTGTCGAAAGTCTTATAAATTCACTTATGACCTAAAATTTCAAAGGTCTTTTATCAACTGCCATCTAGTTGACTTTTACCTCATGGCAACTCGACTTGTGCCAGAGAAGTGTGCTTCCTATGATTTTCAGTAGCATAGGATTTTCAGAGGCTTATTCTTAAGAAGTATGATGCCACTATTTTCCTTATAACCTCTTTTAGTCTGAAAGCTCCCGTGTAACTTGTCTACCAAGGTGATAATAGTATGGGAAATATTAGTCAAATAGTTTCTGTCAGCAATATACAACCCCCACAGTATGATAAGTGACAGATTGTTAATGATTAAAAATATACATGTACTTGTAAAATTAATAAAATGGCTTGATAAGTTTCTTTGCTAAATACACACATACACACACAAAAAAGAGGGTACTCCCCCCACAAACACATGAGTTATTTTTTTCCCCAAAGCTATATATTTACATTTTTTACAAAACAACTTACACCTTCAAAGTACTTTCCATTATACTTAATACATATGTCAAATCTGTGATTCCATTCTTGGAAACATTTTTCAAACTCTTCTGTTTAAATGGCTCACAGTACCTCCCTTGTGTTTTCTTTATCTCTTCTGCATCATCAAATCCTTGTCCTTTCCTGTCCGTCTTCATTCACAGAAACAAAAAGTTACACAGAGCAAGGTCAGGTGAGCAAGGTATATGGGGCAGAGTCATGCTGTTTTTCGCCAAAACCTGGTGCACTGAGATGGCTGATTGAGCAGGTTCATTGTTATTGTGTCAAAACCAGTTCCCCTTCTTCCTCAAATCAGGCCTTTTTTCTCGCACACTGTTATGCAATCTTTTCAGAACCTCTAAATAGAAAGCTTGATTAAGAATCTGACCCGATGGAACGAACTCCAAATGCACTGCAAGTCGACATTTTTATCCATTAGGGAAGTTGCCGGACATCCAGGTGAGATTTTTTATCAATCTATATTTCACCTTTTTTGAAATGAGAAAACCACTCAAACACTTGTGTTATTCCCATAGCACTGTTCATGTAAGCTGTGTTCAATATCACAACAGTTTCTGCAGTATTTTTGCCAAGCAAGAAACAAAATTTCACAGCCACAAGCTGTTATCTTAAATCAGCCATCACAAAGAACAAGGTTTGAGTGAAATGGCTTTTACAAAAAAATCCACTGTGACCAGACAGAATCTTCCCAGGTGATGCCACTGAGTGCACTAACTCAGAGTGAGTTGCTGGATGCTCACCTAATGGGAAAAGGACTATATATCAACTATTGTGTATCTAGAAAAGACAATGAGGGAAGACATTTGTTGATAAATGTACCTAAAACTAAATAAAGTATTTATGACTAAATTGACTAACAAGTTTACTTTTCCAAATAAAAAGCTAAAATTAAATGAAATTCTTTAGTTTTCTTGAAGTTTATAAACTTGCCAGCACAGATTATCATACCATATTATAAAATTGCTGTAATTAAACCTGTGATATTGGCATAAGTGTAGACATATAAGTACGTGAAAGAGAAAATCTAGAAATACATTCTGTGCTATAAAATATCTTAGTAGAATATAGAGTTGTTTTAATTCATTGAATAAATAATGTATTATAAATAAATGACATCGGTATATTTGTCATGAAAAATACTGTCTTATTGTAAATCACAATGAAAAACAACCCAAAAAGCCCTTCCAAATAGTGTAAAAATGTGTGAAAACCTTCAGGTAAAAATTCTATGGGAAATTAAAGCTATTGCATCCACAAAACAGGAGTAGGGAAAGTTCATTGATCAAGACTCCAAACTATAATGCTACAGAAATACCAACGGAAATAATTTTTAATGAATTGAAAATGTGACACAATTTCCAAGCAACTAATTTCAAAAAGAAATGTTTGAAAGGGTAGAAAAAGTTTAATACTTATTACATAAATAGAATTTCAATAAAATTGACAAGATAATAAATCCAGTGTGTGAAACAGCCAAAATATAACCCAAAGTCCAAAGCCAGTGACACAAAGCTGATTCCCACTTACAGGAATTCTACAAAGGTTTCCAAGGCAGAGTGCTTGCACTACATGCTATGGAGCCATTGGTGGATTGGAACTTTATACCTTGTGTTTAGCAGTCCAACCCTTACCTAACAGCAGCACCAGACTGCCTCTGAGTTTCCGCGATTGTAGACCTTTGTGGGAGTAGAAAACCTCATCTTTCTCTCAGGGAGGAATTTTGTTTTGATTTTGGAATGAGAATAAGGCAATGCATTACTGAGAGAACTTGTTTGTAGCCATCTCCTGAAAGCCAAGATTTGTTTAAACATAATTTGTTTGGAATAATCCTTGTATGAAAGTACTGGAACCCATTGAGCAGTACTTTTTGATGTGTGTGTGTGTGTGTGTATTTGCATGCACACGCACCTTCAGGGCATAGTGCATTACGCATTGGGTTGCTCACTAAAATGTCCAACTGTCTGCTTCTATTAAGATATACATCCTTGAAAACTTAGGGAAGAATTGCTATCAAATCTTCATGTTTCAGAATTGACTAAACGGCAGTGGGATAATCTGATTGGAGCTATGTGTGTGTGTTTGAGTGTGTGTTGGTTTCTGTGTGTGTGTGTGTGTGTGTGTGTGTATACATACAGAGGTAGTTGTATCAATGTGTATATACATATTTAAGTATATATACATATACACCCATTCACATATATGTCTATATATGCAATATAAACTCATGCTATTTGTTATTTAGAAATATGTGTATTTAGTTAAAGCACAAATAAATATACACAAACTAAAGAGCATAAATTCAAGCTGGAGTCATTTTTGAGAATAATGAATAAAGGGTTGGTTAGATTAATAGACAATTTAGATAATCTTAAAACTTCATATAAATATAATTTGTGGAACAAGAATAATTCTCTATTTCAATGGGTGTTTTTGAGGAAATATAGTACATTTTATCCTTGAACAAAATGGGTTGGGAGATAGGGGCACTGATTCCCCCCACCCCCCGCCCCCCCGCCCCCAGCAGTTAAAAATCCACATTTAACTTTTGACTCCCCCCAAATTTAAATACTAATAGCCTGCTGTTGACCAGGCGCTTTATTACTGATATACAACAGTTGATTAGCACATTCTTTGTATATTTTTATGTATTATAGACCAGAGCATTTGCAATATGAGAAAAATGGTATTTTCAAGAAGGGTAGAGTTTTCGCACCTGCTGGTGTGCTTACTATGATGAGTTCGCACATTTTCTTTTCCTCCTTACAATGCTGGGTCATTCACCTTGACGTGGAGGCCGCCATGGCTGCAAACTGTGAGCTGCTGTGCATAGCAAGCCTTTCACCTTCATTTTGTAATGTCATAATTTTCTCTGCCTTTTGAGAGCACTTCCCACATCACTATGGCGCTGCGGATAGGTCCCAGGTTGTTATTCAAGTTTTATAGTATTGCACTAAGCATGATGAAAAATATATAAGTACCAAGTTACATAGGTACTAAGAGAGATCATTATTTACTGTGTCACTGTATTTAGTAGAGAGACTAACTGATTTAGTGGAAAGTATTGTTGCTTGACCTTTTTGTAAAAAAAAATTCTATGTAGAAGGGGACCCGCAAAGTGTTGACTATGTTGTTCAAGGGTCAGCAATAATTTAAATAATTAATTGACTTTGTTTTTATTCTAAAGTTGACGATTATGTCCCTCCAAAACCCATTTTTTACTCTATCAAAGAATAACAGACCTATATTTTTTAAAGAAAACTAAGCAATTTATAGGAAAGGTGGATTTTCAGGTAACCCACTTTAGTTC